TCACAATGTGAAGATGTAAATCCCCTCCGCAGAGGTTTCAGATGGGTTTTTTAATGCCTTTCTGAAGACTGTCCCACTCTGACTGGCAGAATTTCTTCTCTGGGTTCCCATATCTTTGCCAGGGGACTCCCTATGTGATCACAGGCCAATCACTTTTCCTCTGTCAGCATTCCGCTACCCTTCCATCAAAAATAAACATGCAGTATTTTCTCTGCCCATCTTGTTTACTTACATGCTACGCTCCAGTGCGGAGACTAGATGTTCAGAGCACCACGGACTCTGGGCAGCAAACCACGTCTCAGGAGCTAACAGCAAACAGCACTCGAGGGCAGCATACAGGCTGCAGCCGGGCCAGCAGTGACCAACACATCAACACACCCTTTGAGAGCTAATACATCACCTGCTCTTAAAGAACAGCACCAGAAGTGCAGGAAGCCTTGCACAGAAGCTTACCTCTTGTTCTGTCTTCAGCAAAATAGCTCAGATCCAGGCGGGAGAGGGATCCTGAGAATTTCCTATTCATTCTGCGGTCACTGCCAGGCATATCACATTGTGTTCCTCATGGATCATACAGATAGGATAGCGGGACCCAGGCATATCACATTGTGTTCCTCATGGATCGTAGGATAGGATAGCTGGATGGATTTCTGAGGTACCACTGCAGCTGGAAGATTACTTAAAGGCTCTGTGGTACTGGGGCAGGACAGCACATTTCTCAGACAAACACAGAGTATGCGTGCATCTGCACACAGCTGTACATGGGGAAGGACACACATTTCTATACAGAGGACACGATGGAAAACACAGGTGTGCAAAGCCACCTGTGCAATTAAAGGCTCTGTGGTACTGGGGCAGGACAGCGCATTTCTCAGACAAACACAGAGTATGTGTGCATCTGCACACAGCTGTACACGGGGAAGAACACACACTTCTATACAAAGGACACGATGGAAAACACAGGTGTGCTCCAGGCACAGTACAGGTACCCACAGGGCATCTATATTGTACAGGAGCCACTTTATGAGCCTGGGAAAAACGTGCCTTGGAAAGTACCACTTGGTGCAACTAACTTTTCCACAGATGAAGAGGGTCAAGAACAAGAGGAGGACTAACTGGCTAAATTTGTAGGACAAAGCCATTAGAGATCAGGATCTGCTCCCTAGCACAGCGAATTGTTCTCAGTTATTTCCTCAACCTCGCAGTGCCTCAGTTCCCTGGAGGCGTGGAGTTCCCATTAAAAAATGTAGGAGGATATATTCAATAGTGACTAATACGCTGTATTACTTAGAGCACTTGGGGGTGGTCCACGTGTCTAGATCAGGATATGAAGATTAATTATGGGCCACACCCTGTGATCTCCACTTAGCAAAGCCCTTATTAGCTTCTGAAGGTGAATCCAGGCCTGATGTCAACTTGCCAACACGAACACAAACACTTGGGACTCGCAGGAGAAAAATGGAGAATTTATCCTCACTCTTCAGACCTTGGGCTTGGCAAAGATCACTCCTCTTGCCACGAGAGAAGCAAAACACTGGTAGGTAACTGATTCAGGATCTTCACAAGTAAAGTATAAAAGACAATGTTAGGGAGAACAAATACCCATGAAAAGAGGGCCCTTCCAATGACATTGCTTCCAGAAGATGTTTTGCCTTCAGATGAGTTGAAGCCACACCAATGCACCTGCAGCCATATCCAGGAACAAGACTTAACAGCTACAGCCCACCTAACTCTTCGAAGCTACTGCACGCAATGAAGGGCTGCAGAAAAAGCAGAGGGTGAGAAAGCCACAGACGGCATCACCCACAGAGAAAGATGCTGACCAAGACCTGCTGCGTCCCCAGAAGTCAGAGATCTCACTGGTAAGCCCATATGAAAAGCAGCCCTGGACACCAGGCAGCCTTCAGCACCACTCATCCCTGCAAGACAAAATGCACCGTGATGCAAGAAAGGACCATGTTCCCTCTTCCTGTGAATTCAAATCTGCCCACTGGGTTTTGTTTCAAGAAAAAAACCCTGCTTTTACGCAACTTCTTTTTTTGAGGTAGTAGAAATAGAACAAGGGCAAGAGAGAGTAAAAGCATTGCAAAAGGCAAGTCTCCAAGAAACACTAAAAATGAATTGCAACATTTGCCCTAGTGTCCCTTAAAAGATAGATTTTTTCATTTCCCAAGGCTTCTGCTGTTGCAACGTGAGGGTGCTGGAAAAGATTAAAAGGGCAGATGCACTGTTTTCCTTTCAGAAAGCATTATTTTGACATTGAGCAGCCAGCTTTGCACAAGGGGAGAGTGCGTGCTCACACTTTGTAACTGGAAGATTTCTTGGTCAGCTTAGGCCAGATCTCCCAGCTCCAGCAATTTTGGCAGACGGATGCAGCGTTTGTAAGCCCGTGGAAAACGGACAAGGCCCTGTGCACTGGAGGCACTCGCCGCTCTCCTGGCCTCAGAAGGTGCTCAACCGCAGAGCGAAAACCAGAAAGATGCAGAACAACACTGCAGGTCAAGGGAGGAAAGAGAGCAAATCCGGGCATCGCTGCAGCCGGCTGGAGCTCTGTGAGACACTGCCCTGGTGAGGACAAAGCCACAGGAGGACAGAATCGCGGACCCCAGTGTCCCAGGGTTGGGGCACTATATCCTCTTTGCATTCACTCTCTGCTGTGAGCCACCCTGACGGGTCAGGAAAGTTTGGGATGCCAACTAACAAGTGGGAAAGCTCTCCCTCTCTCCTCTTTGCTGCCACTTCTGTAAAGGAGACCTTTATAGATGCCCTCTCACTTTGTTGTCCCAGAGAATCGAGATGACATGAGACTTCGGTGCGCTGTTCTGCACCTTCCTCGGGCCAGCGTGGCCTGGAGGGAGCCAGCTCTCGTTAAAGCTGTTACTGCGTTGCTAACGGCCCCAAGTTCTCAGTGCTCCCTCGGAGAAGCCGACAGCGTTTCACTAGGAACGCCTATGGGGGGGTAGAGGGAGGGATTTATAACTCAGCTGCATGAAATGGGAAAGTGATCACAGCCAACGTCACCGATTTAATTTTTCTCCCTCTGTCTTTCATACACCCATACATATTCAACCAGGAAAATAAAATTATTGGTCAGCTACCTTCCGGTTCTAGCAGAATCCACTGCCCTGCTGGCTTTGGCCATTTCCAAAGCTCTTGGTCTCTATCACAGAACTAACCCTCCTGGGAGAAATACCCTTCTTTTTCACTGTCTAATTATTTACTTCCTTCACCAGAACATCTTCCATATTCCTCAGCACTTTGAAGTTGACACAGAACACAGTGCTACATGCAGAAAGAAGGTATTTCACCCTCTTTTCTTGAGTGCCTCCATTTTCCCACACCTTTTCGATCTCAACTCTGTCAGGTAACCCAAGAAATCCCAACCACTGTAACCTTCTAGCCAAATCTTGGTCAATTCATTGGCATCGGAGATCCACGTATGGAGAAGGACTAATCACACGAACAAGGCAAGCAAGATGCACCGCTGGTGAGTGAGGAGTATTTCCTCATATAAGCACAGATTACTCACGAAACAAAAGAATGGCTTGAAGCTCCACTGTACGTTTACACAGCCCTTCTTCCATATTTGTGTGCACGCACAAACACACCCAGCCACACTCATTTACACGAGGTGGTGACGCCTCACTGTAGATGTTCAGGGACACTAACAATTTAGACAAGTACATACAGATCTGTGCAACAGACTGCACAGTCTCTTCCAGTCCACAACAAACACTGGACTGTAAGCTCCTTAGATGTGCATACGAGCTCTTACGTCAATGATGGCACACTGGGACTCATGACTTTCTGCACTGTGTGCACAGAAGTGGGGACTTCTGTGGCATGTCATTACCTAAGGTTTGCTTCCTAACTCCGTATCAAGACCCATCAAGAAGCCCCTGAAGGCACAAGGGGAGGAGGGGGCATCTGACGGACAGCACAGAACAAATGGATATTGCAGCAGCAGGATCCTGCCAAAGGTAGTGAGGGACACCCAGCCAAGACCTCTCATTGCTGGGATTCACTGGATATGGGTTCCACAGCCATAAATATCAGGTTCTCCTCAGTGCTCTCCCAAACACCCGGGCTAAGTCACCTCCCAATACTATTCGAAGTTGCACTTTCTGGTCTGACTGAGTGAAATGAGGATTTTCAGTGTCAGAGACCGAGGAATTGAGTCAGAGAGAGGCCCAGCAAGGAAAAAAAAGCATAATTTGTGGACAGCTTCATAGATCATCATGGACTTTCACTCTCATAGTCACTATTTTTCATCTCTACCCACTCCTGCAACATAACACTACACAAAGATCACTCCTCAGATGGCAAAGCATTGCTCAGCCATCTCTTCCTCCAAAAGATAGCACTTAGAAAGCTTTTCCCTTTAAGCAGCCTCAAAGTTGGCTCTCGCCACTGCTGGCACGAATGAAAGGGATTTCAGTTACCCCTCCTCCTAAATCCCATCCCTTTCTGTTGCGAAGAAAAGGCAGAGGATGACCAAGGGAAGAGAAAAGCAACTCTCTCAGTCGCCTCTCACCTCCCTCCCATCTTTCAGCATGGATGCACTGGCAGGCTGGAAGGGCGCGGGGCCGTTGTAGTCCCCACGCAGCTTCCCCGAGAGCCACACGCAAGCCCAGGAGGGGAGCCCCAGAGCAGGTGCAGGTCTGGGAGGGCAAGGCTGGGAGCACAGTGCTCCTGGAGGCGAGACGCCGGCATATTTCCCCATAACCCAGCCAGCCTTCCCCAGGCAAAGCAGCCTGGTGTCCTCGGGCACCCAGCCTGAGAAAGGGGGGGCAAAGTGATCTCCAGCACTGCAGCCTTCAGGATCCATTCTGCATCCTTTAAATACACCGGGAGTGGTAGGAAAATCGCTCTGAGTCTTTCCTGCTTCCTCCCACTCCCTGCCTGCTGCATACACACATACACACACACACCCAGCCCTGTGCATAAAGGATCTCTGTCCTGCTCGGCTCAGCCATGCAATGCCTGCAAGAGGCAAGAGTTACCTTATTCCCATAGCCTGAACCGCCTTCTCTCTCCATCGTGGCTGGGAAGCTGCTCCCATTCATGCTTTAATCCCTGGGAACAGAGGCACGATTCAAAGCGGCTGTTCACCCACTGGAGTGGGCTCCCCCCAGCAACCTCCTCCTCCTTCTCTCCTCCCTTTTTTCTCGTTTGTTGGGTCCAGATTTTTTTTTATATATTCTTTCTTAATCCAGGCAGCAACCAAGACACTCCTTCATTGCCTCTCTGCCTCCCCATTTCACTCGCAAAGAAACAGCATTGGAGAGCTCCTTCCTCCTCCGCTGTCTCTACGGACCTCCGGTTCCCCAGGTCTGCCTTTCTGCAGCGTGGTGCTCAGAGAAAGAAAGAGAGTGAAAGAAGGAGGGAGGGAGGGAGGGAAGAAGGGAGGGAGGGAGCGTGCAAACAGGGAGGAGGAGGAGGAGGAGGAGGCCAACGGGGTGCGGGAGGAAGGAGCCAAATGCTTTGTATCGAGAGCAGTGCCGACAGCCCCTTCCCTCCCCCCCACCAGAGGAGGACCTGCGCTGCTAATGGTCTGTACCAATTTATTCCACTTAGGCAGGGGCACTTCTCCCTGCGACGGGAGGAAAAGCCAGGGAAGGCTCGGAGATGGCCCCTTAAGGAATTGGTTCCTGCTCTCCTCACTCCACAGCATCACCCACTGAGTCTGCAGCCACAGACTAGGGGAGATGCTCCCCCAGCTCAGCAGGTGAACGGAAAGTGTGAGGCTGGGAAGGGCTGGGCGCGAGGGAAGGGTCTTGCTGGTGAGGAGGCTCAGCACCTCTCTGAGAGAAAGCAGTGACCATATGCTAGGTGGATACGCCACTGTCCAGCCTCTCAGGAAGGCAGGCTGAGCTCTTCTCCACTTTCTGCATGCACACTTGAGCAGAAGCACCCTCTGCTCCTCATCGTGCATGCCTCCGTGCCCGGACTGATGGCTCACTGTCTGAGTCCACCTGGGCTTTGCAAGCAGTGAGTAACACTAGTTAGATCCCACGCATCACCCCTTCTGTTTAGCACCATGTCTTTCCATGGCCCCACTCAGTCATCCCTACCTAAACAGCAAGGTACCCCCACATCCACCCTGGCAGCTGACTAAGGGCCTCGGCACTGGACAAAGAACTGCAGGAACATGCTTCCCCCATGGGAAGGAGGCTCTAGATGTGACTAGGGCTGCCCCTAATCTGGGGACAATTGCACCAAGCCCAGTGGGCAGATAGGATGCTTCTGTGTCCTCCAACAACGCAGCAGGACCCTGGGGATACTCCCTCCCACCTGGAGGACAAAGGGCTTGAAGGGGCTGGGGACTAAAGATCTTATCTCTTGATACTGCCCTTCAATACTTAACCCAGGCAGGGCTGACTCATGCTCAGCAGCAGATTTACACCACAGGACATATGTCTCTGAATGCCATGCTCACAGCTGGACAGTTTAACATGAGCCAAAAGCCAGTCCCGAGGTTGGGGGTGAGTTACCTCTTACCTGTCCTGTCACTGCTGCCCGCTCACCTGCTTCCAACCAGATCAACCCCTTCCATACACCACCATCTCTTCCTGGCTACGTGTTCTACACTGGACATGCAGATCCGCAGCTACAGCTACTCCCTTGTTACCCCCTCTCTTCCAGATCTGGTAAGGTTACAGCACCATGGTAACCTGGAGGTATAGGGAGATTTACTTCTGCTTTACCAAAAAAGAAACAGCAAAGTAAAACCCACAATCTTCCAGTTAACTGTGAAAAGCTTCAGTACTCAGGGAGCTGAGGTCCATACTGTGGAGCAATCACAGTGATCTTCATCAGTGACTCCTGCCATTCTCACCAGGCTTTTTGTTTTGAATGTATAGCACTCAGACCCCAGTTTTAACTCGTGGATCTCAAGGGGTACCTAGGAGCAGAGATGTCTGCTACGCAGCTTGAAAGTCAAAGCATTACCCACAAATTAGTCAGCACCAAGACACACTGACGAATCCTAACTGCACCATCACAGGGACAGCAGCTGCCATACTCTCCCCTTGAAGTGAAGCAAGCTGGAGAACTCCACACATGGCCCCAAGCCACCGCTCAGGTGGAACTGAGCTTTGCTGAGACTGGCAAGGCCTGCACTAGACAAGCCAGGGAGATGATGTCTTCAGGCCAGTGCTGAAGTACTGTCCACAGAGGGTGATGCTTGAAGGAACGTGCTTTAGAACAGCCTCTCCCGTCACGTTACACCTACTCTGTGGATGAATAAGGATGATTAAGGACTGCCAATCCAGAATCCTTCATGAAGAGCTAAAGAAACCGCGCAGCCGGGCTAGCTTCTGCTCAGCCACCTCCTCTGCAAAACAAGGCAGTTCTTGCAATCAAAGAGAACATGGCCTTTTTTTGTCCTTGGTCTCATTTTCTGCAAGGTACCTAGGGAGAGATCAGCTCCAAAGACTACTTGCCTGGGAATTTTGTGCCAATTCAGCTAGTACTAAGGGTTTCACTGAACTCCACGTCTATTAAAAATGCATAATGTCCACTTATATCAAAAGGGCAGATTCAGACCCAGCGTTTTTCCAGTATGTTCCAGGCTACCTGCTGTTATGGCATTCAGGAGATGGATAGGAAGGAACTGTCCCTTGAGGCCTATATCAAGAGAAAAGAAAGGGCACATTCATTGACTATTTCAGGGCTGGGTGAGAGAGGGGAAAGCAAGGGAGAAGAGACATAAAAACGCTCCTACCACAAAACCTGATCACATTAAAACTGAGGGAGGAAGGAAAGGATATGTGCTGCACCCGAGATTCATAAAAATTATGGGGAAGCAGTAACATTTCAGGCTCAGCCCTGCATCAGTGTCTCCAAAGACCCACAAAGGTGAAAGGTACTGGGAAAAGTGTCCAAGAAGCTCAGGAGGGACATAGATACATACAGAGAGGCATTGCTGCGTCCCTCTCCTGCCCCCTCAACTGAAAATTACAGCCTGATTCACTCAGAGCTCCTTTTTGTGACCAGAGCAGCAGAACAATGGTGCAGAGACGCTGCTCTGACATTTTCCAAGGTTGTCCCTTTGAACCTTAGCATATCAACTTGTTTGCATGCTGGGTACGGAGTGTGCCACATTCACCAGAGCCAAATTCCAGGCGAGGGAAAGCCTGCCAGCAAGAGGGGTATGGCAGGAGAGGCTCAGGCAATCCTCCCGAAGGATCTCGGGATAAAAGGGGGAAGGGTGCTATTTGCCTGGAATCCAGAGTGCTTCACAGAGGATGCGAATCTGAAACACGCAGCATCACTGTTGACAGCAGCGTATATAAACAGAGCAGTATCTTCCCGCTCCCTCCCCTTTCTTATTATAGCACAAAACACCCCGAGTAAAATACATACACACGACAATCCACTACAAAAGGAAAACAACGCCCCAAGTGTGTGCACGCACACACATACACAGATATTCTTCTGGAGAACGTAGCATACATTCAATACCTCAAATGTCATTTTTTAAATATTAATGCTGTGCTTCCGGCCAGGTTTATGTAAGGGCTATCACCACAGGATTGTAGGTACAAGAAAACCTAAACGAGATGCTCGTAGCCTGACACACCCCACCTGCCCCAGCCACCCGGACACCCATCCTTGACCGTGCTCCGTCTCCCCCTTCCAGACTCCAAAGCCACGCAGCAGCAGAGCCGGGGCAGACACGCTCCCACCAGGCTTTTTCCCGGGAGAGGGCAGAGCTGCAGCTCCCTTTTCCCCCCTTGCCCGCGCTTGCGGCTCGCCATCTGGCACCGTCAGGAGGATCTCTGCTTGGAACCGCGCTGCAGCCAGGCACAAACACGAGCGGATGCCTCTCTGCGGCTGAACAATAACCTCATTAGCCGAGGCAGGGCAGGGCAAAGGCAGGAGCACGAGGGCAAATATTTAGCAAATAGCAGGGTACGTTTCAGCAGTGCATGCACACGCAGAGTGCTGGGTGCTGGGAGGGAGCAGTGTACCAGCTGGAGCAACCCAAGGGCTGATGCGGTCAGCATCTCCCGTCTAAGCTGGCTGGGGGGGGGTCAGCTTCACTCCCTCCAGCAGTGCTGTCTTGTTTTCAGGCCGCGGGCAGGCTGAACGTGGGAACGAGCTGGCCTCAGGCTTTCCGGGAGTCTCCTCGGCCCTTAGGCTGGGCTCCACACTGTTACAACCCTGCGGTGCCAGACCTGAGATACGACTTTCTACAGAAACAGGATGAGGAAAGAGATGGGTCAAGTTTTTGAAATGACAGGCCTGAGCTCTTCAGAGCCAACCCTGACACTAGGAAGGGAGAACCTCATTTGATAGTCCCACTTACCTTGTCACGCAGATGAGCGGGACCTGAGGCTCCAGGAAAGGCCATGGAGAAAAAAAATCTCAAAGTTTGACCCCTTTGCCAAACTAAGACAATTTCCCTCCTTCCCACAGGAGGCTGAGCAGTATCTGCTCATAACCACAAATCAAACCAACCACTTGTGTTAACTCTCCATGCAGGATTATGGTCCTCCCTTTAAGTACCACCATCCATTCCACTCTCTAGAACAGATCCTTACTCCTACTTCGGTTGACACGTGCATACTGGGCAAAAAGAGCCTCCAGCAAGCAGCTGCTAGCCCAGTTATTAGTCTCCAAGGGCCAAACAGAGGCCAACAGGTTTTCAAGCAGAGTATAAAGTTCTTAAGGTCTGCTATTTGCACAGATTGTTTCCAGCAACTATTACCCTTGTTGCTGTGCTACAGAAAGCAATTACCAGCCTTTTAGTTTGTTGGACTTCAGCGGGGGGCAAACTGGCAGACAATTCTGTGACAAATCTACTTTGAAGCCAAGGTTTCTTTGTCTTCTAGTAAAGGTGCAACAAGCAACAACAAAAGCTGTCATCCCATCCAAAATATCCTTATGTTCCATTCAAAAAGTCTATCTCATGGGCTTCACCTCTACAAACTACCAGAGATGCTTCCTTATCACCCAGCTCGACTTCTGCAACCAGCCTTCGAGTGAGCAGTGGACAGACACAGACTGATCACCCAGCACTTCCCAGCTGGGCAGTGCCATCAGACAGATGCAAGGAACCAAATATCAA